TTGCTGTTTATCATCCATATTTTGATATCTCACAATGTGTCGATTGCGTATCTGGAAATTCTAACTACTATTTCGCAGAATTTGACCAGCCTTGCGTTTACCAGTCATTTAAGTCAACTCCCATATTGTCCTTCACAGTGAAGGTAAATGCAGATATATTGTAAATTACACAGAGGTAACATTACAAGACATTTCCCTTCACATTCCCCAGTATTATATAACAATCTTTGAGCTGAGGCAGTTATGGTTCTACACCATCACCAGTTCTCTTGTTCAATGTGTTTGTATGTCCGTCAGTTGTAAAACTTACTTCGGATGACTTATATTTTCTATACCGGTTTACCATTCTTCAAGTTCGCACCAGTTTATTTTTTCACTGTCTTAGATGAAACAGTCTAGCGTGGAGAACAGTGACGACCTTAATTGAATCTACACCTACTCTATATAAATAATAACAACGTTGTTGACGGCGTCTCGCTTTCTCTTATTAGATGCCCGCCATGTTCAGAGTCAGGACAAATCACGTGTGATCACTGCAGCGGAAAAGGAAGACTAAAAAGTCATATTGAAGTTGTCGTTATTTGGTAATGAGATTATAGTAAAATATTTGAGTTTTACATAAAGTAGTGATCATTGTCTTTGTTGATACTTTTCATACAAAATGCTATATTTGTTAACTGACACGTGGGTTAACGTGGAGCTTTGAATTCGTGATATTCTTTTACTGTAAAAATGCTAACATGGCTTGGTCTGCGCTCTTGATGTCAACAGTACATATAGACGTTAGGAGGCGCATAAATCACATGACATGCCTAGAGGGCAATAATGTTATGCAATTCGATTTATTCGAGTCCCGGGAGAGTCACTGGCCTTTCAGTTTGGTGGGGGTGACCCCATCATAGACCATTTTCACCAAATAGTATATAATAGTATATATTTCATATATCCCATCAGAGACGAAATTGTCACTAAATTTATTCAGTTATATGTTGAATTACCCGGACTCATCATTAAAAGTTCTAAAACTCCGGTAAATGCATGGAAATGAAAAAAACAGACCCCATCCCCCGGTCCACCCTAGACAGACAAACCTGATATTGGACCTAAAGGCAAGCAAATCTATACCCCATTCTAGACAAAACAGCTAAAAATTACGCCCCCAAGGACGGCACTTCCCATAATGTAATTTGCATTTGAGTGACCCCCTGGATTTTAGTTTGAGCTATTGTATCGATTTGGGGCTTTCTCAATCAAAAACAGGACTTGAATATATAATGTGAAAAAGTTATAAACACATGTCCATTCAATACATAATTTGATTAAAGTCACGGTTATTTTCAGATGTTTTTAACGTTCTAGCAAGTTGTGCTATCTTTAAAAACACTCTTCAGATATTTTTTCTTGATATATTTTTTGTTCCTCACTAGGAAAAATAACTGGGACGACTTCATTGTAGATTACGCTAGTGCAGTTCCCGAAAAAGTGCTTCGTGAAATGGAGGGCAAATACGTGTTCAAGGAAGAGAACAGAAAGGTGGGTATTATCGTGCGATGCGTGACCAACTGATGATCGTGATTAGTGTGCTTGAAATATCTTCCGGAAATGACTTCAGTTATCGTATATTCACAGGTTTCTCCCATAACTGATTTCCC